AAATGAAATAGCTACTTATTTTTATTATGCTACTTGAAGAGAGAGAGAAAAGAGAGAGAGAGAGAGAGAGAAAAGAGAGAGAGAGAAAAGAGAGAGAGAAAAGAGAGAGAGAGAAAAGAGAGAGAGAAAAGAGAGAGAGAGAAAAGAGAGAGAGAAAAGAGAGAGAGAGAAAAGAGAGAGAGAAAAGAGAGAGAGAGAAAAGAGAGAGAGAAAAGAGAGAGAGAGAAAAGAGAGAGAGAAAAGAGAGAGAGAGAAAAGAGAGAGAGAAAAGAGAGAGAGAGAAAAGAGAGAGAGAAAAGAGAGAGAGAGAAAAGAGAGAGAGAAAAGAGAGAGAGAGAAAAGAGAGAGAGAAAAGAGAGAGAGAGAAAAGAGAGAGAGAAAAGAGAGAGAGAGAAAAGAGAGAGAGAAAAGAGAGAGAGAGAAAAGAGAGAGAGAAAAGAGAGAGAGAGAAAAGAGAGAGAGAAAAGAGAGAGAGAGAAAAGAGAGAGAGAAAAGAGAGAGAGAGAAAAGAGAGAGAGAAAAGAGAGAGAGAGAAAAGAGAGAGAGAAAAGAGAGAGAGAGAAAAGAGAGAGAGAAAAGAGAGAGAGAGAAAAGAGAGAGAGAAAAGAGAGAGAGAGAAAAGAGAGAGAGAAAAGAGAGGGAGTATTGCCACTTACCTGTATAACTTTGTAATTCTTTTTCCAGATTAAGTAGGGCTTCTTGGTCAGCATTACATTCCCAAAGATACTCATCTTGTTTAGTTACATCAAGGCACTTGTGTTTTGGTATCTCAGTATTGACTCTAAACATACACATAGTTGAACTTGTTGGTCTTGGCTGTGTGTTTGTTGGACAATTTCCAATCAGTTTACAGTGTAGCATATTTGCTGACCAAGGTCTTCTGGAATCATTCCCTGAAATGACAGAAAAGGTCACAACTTCTAATAATTCAAGATTTCACACATAAACAGAATTTTATCTCAGCTCATTAATGGCATTAATTGTAGTTAAAATTATCAACTGATCTGAACAGATTATTAAATTTGCTTAAGATTGTGTTAATAAATGTTAATAAAGAGTTTATACTTATATTGAGAAGTAGCACCTCATATTTCAGGGGAAACTTTCAGAAAAAAAATATTTAAATATTACATGCAATGTCACAAATTTTGGGGGTGAGGGAAGACTGAGAATAAAGCTTAAAACTTTGGTTCTGTCATTTTTTTCATGTAAGGCAATGTGAATAAAATATAGACACTTCCAAATATTTTTCTGGGATTCAAAATTGACAGTTTCAATTGCTGCATATAGCATTTTTTAAATTAAAATACTAAACTGTTTGCTTAAGATGAGAGAAAGAATGTAAGCTACATTCCTTGAGATGGAGACAGTTGAAATTGAGAAAAGTAACTAAGAAGTGCAGATGCAGTTATGCATTACTTGTTTCCTTGCTTCTTATAGTTCATGTAATAAGATTTATTTCAGTAGCATGAAGAAATCTTTTATTAGATCAAAATCATACTGTACTAGATGCTGCAAAACACACAGTAATACAGAATCTTGTTCTAGACAGTTTATTATCTAAATATTCAAGCTAACAGGGAAGTAATGGGGTAGAAACTAAGCACAAAGAACTAGTAGTGACAGCTAGAAAGTGCTAATTTTTAACTCAAAAGCTAATTCTTATGAAAATAATGCCAGTTATATAAGCAACTACACCCAAAATACGAATACATAGATGAAGATCTAAAAATTACCTTAATTCAACAGAATCATTACAGACAGCACTTCTATTTTTTACATTAAAAAATAAAATTAAGCTGTTAAAGTAGGACCTCAAAGCTGTTGCTCTCCTTACCTGGGTATGACCTCCACGCTAACATCAGGGGAGAAATTCTATCTTGAGTCTCCAAACCACTTGAAGGCCTGTTCAACTGACTTTCTAAGACACCTTGAACTAGAGAGTCATCAGCATATTCACTTAAGCTCCTTTCAGGAACCCACTTTCCATCTCCTGAAATTAAAAAGTATTAGAGGAAATTGTTTGCAGGTTTTGTGTTAATATGCATTTACTGTTACTGAGTTTGCTGCATTTAATGTGTGTGATTTGAAGAAGTAACGTAATAAATTTTCTACACACAGTGTAAAAAAAAAAATCCTATACAACACACTAACAAGCTTAAATTCAAGTTATATACTTGATGGAATTAATATTCATGTTCAGCAATCATTCTACATGTTGTTTCATCTACATCATTAAAAATATTTTTTGTGATGTATATTATACACAAAGAAAAGCAGAAATTCCTACTGGAACCAAATTCTCAGAGGATATAAAGAAGTATATAAATCTATAGCACTATATTGATGTAATTTTCTTCAAGGTAGTAAATTTATTTTATAATTCCACAGCACCAGTTGTGTGTGTTGCCATGACTGTTACCTCGAAGTGACTTCTAAAAGTAAGCTAGATCCAAGTTACACAAAGAGAAGGATCTGTTACAGTAACAGTGATAAATATGTCAATTGTCTGAGGATTTTCTTCATAAGCCATTACCTGGAAATGGGATGCTGCTGTCCATAGGGACAGAGTCAGCACACAGTGAAGATTGTGCTTCAAGCATTACTTGTTTAGGGTTTGTACCTACAACAAAGAAACCTTCAAGTCCCCAATACCTTGTAGAAAAAGATTTCTGTCTTTTGGCTACATCCTGTAACTTGAATAAAACACAAAGATATTAGAAACAGGAAAAGAAAGAGGAAAATTCCTAAGTTCCCTTTGCAGGTTTTTATTAATAAAATGCTCATTTCATAAAACATGGAACGATTCCAATAGCCTGGTGTAACAGATAGTCATAAGGATGAAGGCTTTGCAAGATACATGCTTTAAAATCCTATAAACTTCAATTGTCAGAGTCTGTTCTTCCACTGTGGACATGGAAAGCAGTTTTTCTTCATTTGCTTTCGCTTATTTTTGTTTACATCAACTAAAGTAATACTGTTTAACAACTCCAAATCTAATGTCCCAACCTCCCTCATGCTTTTTTTTTGCTTTCAATTTTATTTCCAGCAAAAGAACATTTGAATAATTTAGTTTAGATAAGAGTAGCTCCAATTTTTGACATTCAATCAAGAGGTGAAGCGACCTTGATATTAACATGAGAAGAGCTGCCTTCTCCCCCAACACACCCTTTTCTTTTTGTCTGATACTAGCCTGTTCTTTCTTTTGCTTTTTTTGAACATCAAAAGAAGACTGACAATAGAAAGAGAGAAGCACAGAGGCCTTCATCCCCAACACATGAAATATGGTAGGCAGTGACAATCCCCTGATGAAAACTATACTCTTGATTGCTTTTGGGTAGGGTTTCTGGAGTACAAAGGGGAAAAGTGGTAGAGCATTTCATGGTAACCATACAACTATCACTATCTCTCAGCTGCTTCAGCAGTATGGTATGTTGCCTCATGCTAAACTGGGAAAGCAGATTAAGTAACGTAGTTTATCTATTCAGCAATCAAAGATATAATATTTTACCACTGAAGACTTTGTAATTACAGGCAAAACCAAACTCTGACTATCGCAGACACTGTTCAGCTCTTGGGAATCTTTATTGGTTTTCTGCAGTTGTACCTCGAGGAGATATTTGTTGCTCATTAGTTCAGTAGGGTTAGAGATCTTCTCAGGTAGTTTACAGGAGCTAAGTGATCTTCTCATAGTCTTTAGTTTAATATTCTCCTTTTGTACTCCATTTCTTTCAAGATGACTGCAGATAATCATTTTTTCTACAAGAGTACAACAAAATGATGAAAATAAGAATTTTTTTTAAATGGAAATTAATACAAATTATAACCTGCAAGTCTACTATATTTTCTTCATGAACTTAAAATACAAAGCCTTCATTATAGTTACCCCTAAACCACAAAATTACAAATAAGAACAGTTAACCTTTACGAGCTTCCTGCTTGCTATGTGGAGATGCCAACATACAGAGACTAGACTTACCAGGTAGTAGTACCAGTTCTATATCTAATGCATATGTTCCTGTACATTAAAACATTAAATCTTTATAATAATATTAACACATTTCCAACTTTAACACAATTCCAACTACTACTTCATGCTAAAGTAATTTTTTATATTTACAATGCTATAATCTAACCAGAGCCAGCATAAGAACTGCAAGAGTAGCAATTTCATAAAATTTATTTAAAAATAGTATAATGGTTTGATATACCTACTACCAGGCTGGGAATGATTCTGCAAACTGGGAGGTTTTTTTGTTTATACAAGACATAGCTATTTTATTTTTTATCCTGTGCCCAAAGAAGCACATAAATCACAACTCATTAGTCATCTCTCGTTTGCTTTTTCACATTTGAAGACTTAAATAAGTAGTTTCTTGAACTAAACCCAAAGAGAACAAGCGCTAGGTTCTGAAGTGCTAGAGCAATCAGTTGGCACTTGCAAGAATGCAAAATTAATTACTCTTACACTCTAACTTATTACTTCATATTTTAAAAGTTACAATACTTTGCATAGTTTTAGGACAAAGAGTAAGATCTTTGGGACCACTTAAGAGTGCCACAAAATAAAGCTGCAAAATTTTCACGGTGATTTCACCGACTTGCAACAGGCACTGGGATGCTTATACACAAATGATGATCTTTCCTGCATGACCTTTTCCTCATGATCTTTCCTTCTCAACCTATCCATATAAAAGCATTTTTCTGCATGAAAAGGACACGTGCCATACACGAAATCTAGTACTGTACAGATAAACTAAGAGGTTTGTAAGATCACTTCAGCTGCTTTACAGTGGGTTTGTTTTCAGTATACAACTCATATTGGGGCAGTCTCTCCCTCAAATATAAGCTCGCAGCTGTGAGATTACTATGGCAGCAGATGCCTGTAATTTCAAAACAGCTTGTGCAGCCCATCAAACTGTGGTCAAGGGACCTGCATAGCTCAGGGAATGATACGTAATTTAACTATCTTTAATTAATTTTTTTCCAGACAACCACTGTAGTTGACTACCACATCCTATATGAGAATGATAAAACTGTATAGGCTTATGTATCTTGCACAAATAGCTTTCAAAATTTACCTTGAGAAACTTCTTTAGAAGGAGAGGGACTTCTGTCAAGAGGAAGAGGTAGAAAATATTGAGTGTCAGCTGTGGATGTTAAATGACAAGATGATTTTCTCGTTATGCCTACAGTTTCTCTTTGCAAAAGGTCTTGCACTGTGTCATTTTGATCTGCAACTGCTGAACTACTTTGAAACAGAGAAAAGAGGAAAGTCCAGAAGAATAAAATATAACAAAACAGATCACATTTAATCATAAATAAATTTAGGGAGATCAGAAGAACTGAACATGTATTATTAATTATTAGGACTCTTAGTTTTGCCTAGAATTACAAAATCAGTAAAGTGAGAGTATCTTACAAGTATAAACCACTGTCCAATTGCAGACTTGTCTGCTATTCCCTGCTCCTACTGAGATAAGAGCATACAAAAGAGAAATTCTCCCTGTAATTCAGGACATACACATATACAGAAACATATATTACATGGTTTAACATTGGAGTGACCAAGCAAACAAAATAAAGTCATTTCAAAGCAATGTCTCTCTAGTTACAGGCAAATAATATACCTTACTGACAAAAGCTGAAGACAAAAAATTACTGTTTGCTAACTTTAATGGTAAACATGTCATATGCCTGTTAATTGCCAAACTCTTCTTAGACTGTCTTACAAATCAGTCATCAAACCATTAGGTCATTCCAATGAAAACTTCCAGGGACAAAAACCAGCAATCACAGTCAGGATCTTGGAAGAAATGTAAAGGAAGGGAAAGGTGTAACTGAGAGTCACAACACTGGCACAGACTATGCCTTGCACCAAGGATGAGCAGACATTATCTTAACCGTGCCTTAGAACAATTTAGAGCCAAGGATTCTCCCCCCCTTCATGTGTTGTATGACTCTCTGCAAACAGAAACGCCTGTTTCTTAAGAATGCAACTAAATCAGAAGACAGGATTATTCCCTTTTCTCTTCCAAATACCCTTTGCATTTCTCATACCTTCCACATTGCTTGAGTGCTTCAGTTTTCCCTTGCTTATTCATTCCCACAGCCCCAGCTTCCACCACCAAAAAGTCAGACGATTCTTCCAAGTCCTTGCCATAAGACTAATAAAAAACCAAAACAAAAAACATATTCAGCAACAGGTTAAAATTCAAAAAAACATTAACTCAAGTGATTAAAAGCCTGCAGATTTTATTTTTGTATAATTTCTATATAGTAAGGGTCCCTGAACACAATAGGAAAAAATTAGAGGGAACTTTTGGAAAGATAAATTTTCCACATTTGTATGGAAAAGATAAGCAATGCACCAATATTATTTTTTATTAGAAATTAATTAACTGTTGCTACTTTAAATATTTAACAGATCAATGTTTAAACAAATCACTTCAGATCAGTCTGAAGATTCACGAAGTCCTTTATTACACACTTACATCATCAAGGAACTCAATTTTCAAAGCGGGCTCTACACTTTCAGAAATTGTGTTGGGTACTTCTTCTCTAAAAACAGACATCCAGTATCTCTTCACTTCTTCATCTACAAAACATAATTCATTTGATGCATCTGATTTTTTCCTGTTCAAGATACACTTATAAAAATGCAAACTTTTTATTTATTATAAAATACCATGAGTTTATCTTTTCATTATTTTTACTTTCTTTAAGCAGAAACTGCTTATGTATATAACTGTTAAACAATCATAGCAAGAAAACAAACAAAAAACCCCAAGTATTTAATAGTTGGATTCAATAAACAGAAATCTATAACACCTGTTAATTCATCGACATCATCATCATCATCTTCTCCCTCTCCTCCACTCACAGCCTGATGTACCCTCAGTGTTTGCACAGCTCTTAAATCTTTAATGCAACTACCAGAAATTTGATCAACAGGAGTTCTAAAAAAGGAAAAAAAATGAAGCTTTAAAAGTCATAATTTTTCTTTTACATATAATATCACAGTCATTAAAAAAAAAAAAAGAGTCACTACACTACTTACTGCAGCAGTATTAGATGCTGCTGAAATGCAGCAACCCTTCCTAATTTCATTGAGATGACCTCATACCTCAGGGACTAACAAAACAACTCTGTAATGTTTATAAAAGTATCCTGAAAATCGTACTTCCTTTTCTCTATAAAACTTCTGTAGCACATGTGCCAAAATCAAGCAGCCAGGCATCATTACCAGTCTTCAAATTCTACAATAAACTGATAGCAAAGAGAATTCCTCCAAAGACTAACTCTGCAGTAAATCTGAAATATTAAGTCATCAAGTCTGATTACAATGGTTATTTTATTAAAATAAAGCACCCTCCATACAGTCACCTTAACTCTTTATAATATATCTAATATTTAAAAAATTTCAATGGAATTTTTGTTAATGCTATTAAGTATTTCTGACTTCTTTCATTAGTACCAGCAACTTCAACAAATACCTTCTGTATTTCTTAAGCAAGAGTTTCTCCATGTAGCTCAGGCCATCATTCTTGAATTCAATTTGGACAGGTTTCTTCCCAGCAGTGAGATTGGTCTGTACCTCACAAATTCCCACAGATTCTATTAGAAATATTTAAAAGACAAATTTATCCAGCTATTCAGACTTAGAAACTTGCTATTTAACTAAATTATTTTTGAATGAATGTCACATTAGTAGTCTATACCTAGCTAAGTCTTTGCATAAATCAAAAATTTAAATGGCCAGCAGTATTATATTTACACAACACAGTCAGTAGTGGGGGAAGCCAGTAAAAACTCATTTATTGCAGCTTTTCACATAAAGGAAGATTACCACATTAGTCCACGACCTCACAGATAAAAATCCCACTATATTACAGGAAAGAAAAAAAAATAAAAAGAAAAAAAATCACTATAATTTTTTATATACAAAGAATGAACACCATCATTGGACTAGAGGAAAAAGACAAGCATGCACAAATCCAATCAGACAGGAGTGGGTTTCTTCATATTTTGCCATGCATACTTCAACTGATAGCATCTTTTCACTGGGACAAAGAAACACTAAGAGCTTGTGAAAGGCAAGCAGAAAATGTACTTTGATACAACATACAAAATCCTCAGCCATGCACATTCCTTGTCCCAGTTAAAAGCTGTGACTTTATGCTCGAGCATTACAGTTCATATCAAAGTCTCATGTGAGAAACAATGCCATAGAAAAGTAGAGGGACACGAGCTAAACCATCTGGCCAATGCCAGTTTGTTACAAAAAATGAGATAAACAGTAATCTGTATATTATTAAAAAAAATCTTCAGAAGTTGTTGTTAATTTATAAAGGAATACAGTGAGAAAACTTAAGAAGAAACATTGACTATTCTAACAGAACATTTATCTTCACTAATGAAAAATCTACTAACTCACAAAAATGCTCCTAATGTTTTTAAAATGCAATTAAAACAGAAAAAAAAACAAAACATACCTGATTTGTCCTCACTGGTACATAGTTCTCTGTGACCATGATGATCTTTTCTCCATTGAAGCAAAGCTTCCTGAAAAGACTTTGCAGATTCCTCCTCATTAAACGTCCCATTCAGTAATAATTCTTTGTCCTGATTTTCAAGGCCTGTACAGGTTGATTTTGAGGACAGTTCCTAAATCAGTTCCACAATATAATTAGTACAGCACTTCTGATGATAATCCTCTCCCCACTCACATATATCAGCAACAATATTTTCAGTACCAGCTATGGAAATACAACACCCTGTTTTCTGGGCTTAGCCTAGCTACCCTGTTAATCAAGATCACTCAGTTTTGATGTGGTCTTGCTCACAACTAAACTGCAATGTTCTATCAAGAATAAGAAAAAACAAAAAAGTTTGTATTGGCACAAAACCAAACCGTTTAACTGCTTTGAGGAGGTAGAGAGCAGTAGCCATGGATAACCCACATGCTATGTACAGGATGGATATTATGTCAAAAGACATGAACAGGAGTCAATGGGCTGGGCAAGTCTAATAGCTTGATCCCTCGCTTGGCACATGGCAGAAAATAACTAAGGCCACTCCACCTAAAATGTCCTAAACAAAAATAATATATTTCTTTTAAACCATACATTACCTCAGCACTGCCTACTGATGCTAGGAGAGATGAAAACTTGTCTGATGTGACCTGATGCTTGTTGTTTACTTTCTTCTGCTCGTGATTAATTTTCAATTTATTCAGATTTACTTCCTTGATGAAATGATCAACAACTTCCAATTTTCCAACATGTATATCAGCTTCTGGCTGTTAATGACACATTATGAAACCATTAATATATTATAAACACACTCAACATTCCACCAAACACCGTATTAAAAGCAGGTAGGTAACCATATATTGAAGAGTGATTAGTGACATAAGCAGATAATAATTTCAATAATCAATAGTGTGCAAATGTGTGAGCAAAAAAATTCAATAATCTGAATATTCCATTAGGTACTACACAGGACCGACTAAGTGAAGCATTTTATGCAGCACATATCATTTAAATTAATGAGCTATGTACTTTATTAATGAAGTTCTGCTTACTGAAGCTTTTCAGTAGACAAAAATGCATCTGTAGAGGTCAACAAGAGGAAAATGTTAATTTCCAGAACTATCTGGAATACCTGTTCACCTACAAAAAGTAGTCCAGGAAAGTCTAAACTATAAAGAACTAGATGAGTTTGATTGAAAATAGCTACAGGAGAACAACAGTTTTACTCACACTGGGACTTTGCTGATTTGCAGCCTTCACTAGAACAAAGAAAATTACTGTGAAAATGTAGCACGAAGACTTTGATCACCAACTCTTGAGTTATTATCAAGCAGAAATAAAAAATATCTTATGTTCATCCTT